GGTGTCCCTGCTTGACAAGCTGGGGTCAGCCTGGGACACCTGGGGGCCTCATACCCAGGTGAGCAAAGGGAGCAGCTGGTTGCTATCTCTGTTTGTTACTAACCCTTCAAATCACCTGGGTCAAAAGCAATCAGCCTCCACCCAAAGCATCTTGCCACCCCACTGCTCATCAGAGTGACTCAGGATGTGACCTGGCTCGACCGGCTGCTCTCAGGAGAGCTCATCCAACAGCAATGCTGTTTGAAATTCTTTGAGCCTTTGCTCTCACCCTGCTGCAGCCAGAGCTCACTCCTAATGCAGGAACAGCTGTGGCACTTGGAATGCAATGTGGGGACAGTGGGGACAGGTCCCTGCTATGGGGCTGTTGTTCTGCTGCCGCTTTGCATACCAGAAGTCCTTCTCATCACCTTTTGTAAGGAGTCCATGGGATGCCAGGCTCACCTGGTGGCAGTCACCAGGTTTTGTCACCCATGCAATGTCCCCACCAGCAAGGTGACAGCATACAATGCATCAGCATGAGTATCCTGGTGATGGGGAAGGGAGAGTCCAGCACACACAAGCCATGAGTGCTCGTTCTTCTGGTGCCTGTGCTGAACCAGTCCTATGCTGAACAAGGCAGTGAGCAAACAGAGCAGCCTTAACCCCCCCCCCGCGCGGCTGGGCTCCCCTCATTCGCTTCCTTCCCTCGCGGTGCCCTTCCCTTTCCCACCAGCTGGATGCTGAGCAGTGAGCGCAGCCCCTTCCTTCAGGGAAGCAAATGCAGAAGCAGCGCCGTGCCCCACTCTGTACCTGGAAAAATCAGGAATCTGCATCCCAATAACCAGAAAAGAAAGAAAAAAAAAAAGATAGAAAACTACTCTCCAGAAGTGTTCTTTTCCCAGCTGTGACCTGCAAACTGCACGTCTCCCCACCAGGGCTCAGCAGCAGCGTTCTGCTGCCGTGACAGATCCGCGGCAGCGACACGCGGTGGCGGTGCGCGACACGAGGTGACGATGCTCAAACCCGATCCTCTCCGCCTGCATCCATCCCAGAGCCGCACCGAAGGGCAGGAGCACGGCTCCCATAGCAATGCACGGGACGTCAGCTGTTCCCGCACTGAGGTCACGCAGATAGCGAGGGAGCGGTTAGGAAACAGCCAGGGAAAGGCAAGAGAAAGGAAGATGTGGGGGACTTAACCCAGTGCCACAGTTAAAATGAATTATTAACATTGGCGTGGAAGTAGAGAGGCTGTGTCTTATCAGCAGCAATAAAGCAATTAGGACAGAAACCTTTGAGCACACAGAATGCTTCCCGGACTGAGGCACCAATGGAGCTCAGACCCTTCACTGCACCTCCTGAGCTGAGATCTCTGCTCCCCATGGGCATCAACTCTTAGCCCAGTGACAAGCCGTGGGGTCTTGCGGGGTCACTGCTGCTCCATCATCTGTGTGGGGCATGGAGAGATCCCAGCTGCCATCCAGGTGTCATCCAGACCCATCTGAGCCCCAGCTGTCCCGCAGGGCAAGGACAAGGACAAGGAGTTCTGGTTCTCACCTGCAGCATGGAAGTGTTTCTCACCCTCGGTTTTATGTGCCAAATTTTATTGCAATCCAGTTGTTTTGCTATCAACATGGTAAAAAAAAACCAAATAAATGCCCTTAGGGAGACTGATATCACTGAAGCTGTTGGGAGATGGTTATTGCACAGGGTTGGTACAAAGCAACAAAATGATTGCAGTTTAAGTCATCAAACGATGATAAAGAAAGCAAAACTGCTGGATAGAGATACACCTTCGTCCAGGGAGAATCCAAGTTCTTCAGAAAGCATGATCCAAGGCTTCAAAGCATACCTGTGCCCCAGAAGCTTGAGAGTCCAACCTTTGCACCCTGGCACGTTGGGCAGGGCAGAGCAAAGCTTTCCAGCAAGTCACAGCTATTGGCTTTGCCATGCGCACCAAACCACCTGCTGGTCTCACATGGAGTGTAATGTCCTGCAAAGCCTGTGGGTATGGGGAGGGCAGAACCAACCTGGGGCGTTTCCAGCACTGCTGTGCATTGACTGTGCTTCAATCCATCATCTTTATTTGTAGGAAAAACAGAGCAAAGTCTGCCACAACATCACAACTGTTGCTATGCGCACTTCTGCCTTTCTGGAAGCAGTGCAATCCACCAACCAACGAACTTTAAATGCACAGCAGTTAAAATGCAGCACAATTAAAGTAAGAAAGAAAGTAATCACTACGAAATGACAAGTTACTGAGAGATCAGAATGATATTCTCAAGTAAAATCCACGTGCCTTAGTGACATGCTGCTTTGACTTCATTTCTCAACTTTGGTCTCTTTAGCTGATTGGCAATTTGGTTTAATCAGGCTATGGTGCAATGATCCAATATAATTTCCCTCCATTAACATGATTATAACTACCTGAAAAGCCAGTTTTCTCGCTGGCTTGCTGCAGTGAGAAACTTTAACAACTGTTGAGGCAGAAAACAGACTTTTGTTCTGGAATCCTCAAGAATGTGGTGCCAGAGGATGAGCATCAGGGTGGTTCAGACTGCAGAAGTGGGGAGAAACACACACAACGTTCATTCTTGATGTGAAGTTCTGCCTAAAGGCCCTTCCCAGCAAAGAGCATTTCAATGCTAGTAATTAAAAACCATTCCTTTGTGTTACAACTTTGCATGTTGTCTGAAGCACTGGGGAATTCCTCAGAACTGTGCAGTTTCTGCTCCTGGCTTCTTCATTGGTTTCCTTTCCATCATGAAGTGGCTAAAAAGGAGCACTCTGCAGGTTCCATATTCAGTACATCACTGTCATTTCTCCTATTTCTGTCATTATTCTGGCTGTCTCCAACTTGCTCGGCAATGCACTGCTGAACCTCAATACAGCAAAATCATTATTAACTCTAAACATCGTTACATTAAAAAACAAAGAATTAAACATCAAGAGCTGAGCAGAGACCAGCAGAGCCGCAGACCAGAAGCAGAAGCATCCTAACCTAAGGTGGGTGATCCTCACTTTGCCCTGAAGTTATTATTGAAGAGGGTGCAGTGCTATCACACAGCAGCAGCCTGCACTGCTCTGACGGATTTCACTTTTGCAAAGGATGGATGTCAATATGCAATAGGTCTGCAACGTCAAGTTGTCATCTCTAGTGCAGGACGAGTGGTACAACCCATTTCTGCTTGAATCTGCCTTTGCTTCTAGAGCTAGCATAATTCTTTCTTTCCTCTCCTTAAAGCTATCAAATGGATTGTTGCATTTTTGCAAAGAGCACACAGAGAAATGAGGTAGATGAGGCAAGTTCTCATTACATGGAGAGATGCTAAGCAGTTGTTGTGGAGCAGCAGCTAACTAGCAGTATTCTTGGCGGTGGAGGAAGGGCTGTTTAATCAGACGGATGCAATAAAATTGGGCACGCAGGCATTTTCACTGCAGAAAACTGAAGACAGGAAGAAAAAAAAAGAAATGGGATTTGTAATATTGGCTGTCTTGTCGCTTTCTGCTATTTGTGTTATTTGGTGGTGGGCAGTGCCTAGTAAATGAACGCAGCTCAGCAACCCAGCAACGCTGCAGAACAGTTGCACAGATAGGCCAGACCTGCTGGACGTGCTTTGCTTTAGATTCCATCTGATCCATCAGTCGTTTGCAGCACGGATGCACCCAGAGCTCCAGTCCTCATGGCTGCCAATCATGTGCAGCTCAGCGTGCCATAAATAACCCAGAAAATGCATGTTTGGTGCTGCAAGTAGAATGCATGTGGCTGGTGCTCACTTGGAATTGCTCAAGGTAATTGGACCTGGAAGAAGTGAGATCTCTTTGTTAATTAGCATCTTCGTGGCGGTCCTGGAAGGCACAGCCCAGGCATTTCCCAGCCCAGTGCTGACACTGCTTGTTGCTTCAGGGTAGGAAATGGAGGAGTGAACGAGTGGGGCTGTGAAGCTGTTGTATGGGATCCCAAAATATCGCAGCTGGGTGATTGTGCAAGCGTGGCACCCACCCCTAAGGAGGCACAGAGCTACACCAGCCTGCAGGCACTTCGCATCCAGGCTAATGGCCTAATGCCAGGAAGAACTTAGCAAGTTAATGCCAGCACAGAATGTATCATATAGGAAGAAAGCCTTGTTAGAATGCTGATCTGAGTTGTCAGCAGCAGGGCCAGCTAAATGATGGAGCTTTGGCAAAATTTGTGACTTCTTCATTAATTTTTGGGTGCCAGAGCTGCACCCACTGCCTCATACACTGGGGGAGAATAAAAACAAGGGGAACTGCCCAAAGAGGATGCAGGGCCAGCTGCACCACCACGGCACTTCTGTTTGCACTGAAAAGGGAAGAGCACATTTCTGCTGTCCCAGCCACACTTCCCATCAGCAGAGAGGCAACTGGGGCAGAGAGCTGGCTCTGAGCTGGGTCTGTAAGCCCCACAGCTGGAGGCAGTGCAGCTGGGGAGCTACAGGAGAGATGCACATAATCCCAGTGCGAGGTGTGCAAAGTATGCAAGGTGAGCAAGGCATGCAAGGTGAGCAAAGAATGCAAGTTGTGCAAGGTGAGCAAGGCGTGCAAGGCTCAGGGAGTGAGATGCTGCATGGACCAAACCCACATCCAGGGGTCAGCTACCCCACGTGCTGCTGCCAGGGCTCAGCACCACGGCTGGAAATAAGGCTCACAACAGCACTGCATTGTGGCCATTTCCTTATTCCTGTCTCCAAAATGCTTTGAGGTTAGCTCAGTGAGTTAGCAAGGATGAAACAAATCAATTGGTTTGTGCCAACTTCAGATTTGAATCGTGGTGGGGGTCAAGTAAATCTCAAAGAATTTTAGTAGGGGATTCCATAGGATGAAATTCCGGGAATCAAAAGTCAATTTTTAACATGCACAAGGAAGTAATTCCCCTCCTAAACACTCAAACATCACTTCTAAATATGGAAATGGATAACAGCAGTCTGCCCAAAGGTTTCCTGCAAGAAGTTTAGTTACAGCTAAGTAAAATTAAAAGGTTAGAAAGATAATTGCACCTTACCAGGAGGAGCATACAGCATGCTGGTGGAATTTTGCACTGGAAAAAAAAAAGAAGATAAGCAAGTTTGATGGCCCCAGGTTGGGCTGTGGAGGTCTGGGCAAGACCCAGTGAGGTGCCATGGGTCATGGCTGCATCTGGGCTTGGTAATCATCATTGCCATCCTCAAACTCCCTGTGCATGCCTTTTTGGAGCTGTTCAGCTCTGCAGATCCAAACCACAATCCCCTTTCTGGTTGCTCACAGGGACACCAGCAAAAACTGTACCCAAAATGAGATTTGGAAGTTTGCCGAGTGAACATTCGAGAAGGGCAGAGATGGAAGTTCTCCTCCTCTTTGTGGCTTTGCTGCAAGGTGAGTCACCAGGAAACTCCGCAGGCACAAAATGTTCCTGCTGGAGGTTTACTGCTCGCCATCACTACAGAGCAGGATGGCCAGGGCTGGTGGAGCCTTTGCCTCTGGCACCCTGCTTGGGACGGTAAGGCTCCCCATCCACATGGATATTCACGTCTGTACCTAATGCACTTCTTCCCTCCTTCCCCAAAGAGCCAGCCTCAAGCACCTTGTATGGGCCCAGGTTTTTGTCAGGCGCAGTTGGAGGGTCCATCACCCACCAGTGCTTCTACTCCATCACGCCTGCCAACAAGCATGACAGAAAGTTCTGGTGTAAAAGGAAGAGCGATGGGATTTGCTACACCATCATCTCCACCACCAACTTCATCTCAGAAGATCACGTGGGCCGAGTGGCCCTGGAGGATGTCCCTCAGAATGGCACCTTCATGGTGACAATGACACAGCTGAAGACAAGTGACACAGGGACCTACCGCTGTGGCATTGGCCCCACCAACAGCGACCTCCACGTCAGCCTGAACCTGACTGTGTCAGCAGGTACAGTGATGGGACAGGGAGAGGGTCAGGCCCCCTTTGCCACCCTTTTCTTTAGGCAGTCGTGGGCATAAAACCCACAGATGTGACTAAAGCACCCATGCAAAAGGAGGTGACACCCGCACATCTGTCCCTGCAGATGTGGGCACGCAGAGGCCAATTGAGCTGTTCCTTGGGGAGCTCCATGGCTCTGTCACCATCCCCTGCCCACCTGGGGACAGCCGGGGTGGCACCAGGAGGCTCTGGTGCAGAGTGGGGAAAAGCAGCTGCATCCTCATTGCTGACACCGATGGCTACGTGGGAAAGAGCTACGAGGGACGGATCTATATTACTCCCCAGGAGAGCTCTGGAGCATTCAAAGTGCTGATAAATGATTTAAGGCCAGAAGACATGGGGCTGTACAAGTGTGGGATGGGCAGCCCAGCTGACTGGGGCAGCTGGCAGATGGTAGCCCTGCAGGTGACCACAGGTAGGAGGGGACTCCGGGGGCTGCTGTGTCCCATGGGTTCATTGCAGCCATACCAAACATCATCATGAACTTCTCCTACCTGCAGTCCCTGCCCAGCCCCGGAGGGTGAAGTTTCTGCATGGCAGCGTGGGGGGCTCACTGTCCCTCAGGTGCCACCACGACCCTGCAGGCAGCTACACCAGCAAGTACCTGTGCAGGTGGCAGAAGGCCAGCTGCTCCCTGCTGGTGGACACCGATGGGTTTGTGCAGGAGTCCTACAAAGGGCGCATGTGGATCAGCAGCAGCATGCAGGACAGTGGGACCTACACTGTGATGATGAGCCACCTGCAAGAGGAGGATGCAGGGTGGTACTGGTGTGGGGCCAGGAGCGGGCATAGGGAGCACACGACCCCCATGAAACTGCTCATTGAGAAAGGTAGGCGATGGCTGGCTGGAAACACAATCCTTCTCCTTTTGTTAATCATTCTTCCCCTTATCCCTTCATGGACACCCCCTTCACATGTTTTCTTTTGTTCCGTGCATAAACGTAGTGGCATTATAGAAACATTTGAGCTTTCTGCAGAAATCTGGTTTGTTTGAAAATATCATTGATAATTCACGATGCAAAACGCCAGCACGTGACATCCTGAGTGCAACATGTGCAGCATGGAGATGTAACTCTGAAGGTTACCTTGCAGTTTTAGGAACCTCAGCATGCAAAAACACAGATGCAATTCACTCTTCAGCTATCAGAGACAGAAATAGTGAGGTTGAAGTAGGAACGTTGGCCAAGTATTGACGGATTTTCATTAGTATTCCCAAATTGCTTTCTATAATTGAAATGGTCGTATGATGTTGCATGTTTGTTTTTTTTTTTTCCATCAGCAGACTCAAAATGAGATATGCAAATCTTTGGAAATTCTGGAATGTTCTACAAAAAAAAAAAAAAAAAAAAAAGAAAGAATATTTAAGCATCCAAACCATTTTCTTTGCAGAAATCTTCACTTCACCAAACCCAGCAAGGCACAATTCTGTGAACCCCACTTTGCCGTTCAGGTCATCTTCCAACCATGTAGTGACACAGAGTAGCACCACATGGCCAACAGACACCACAGGACCAACAGACACCATGGGTCCAACAGACACCACTGGGCTGAGACTCACCACAATGTTGGCATACATCATGGGCACCAGAACTGAGGGCACCAGCCCCCATCCACCAGTTCTCCCCCCCAGCACCTTTGTGACCTCCCGCAGTGACACCTACAGCCAGAGGTAAGTTCATGGCCACCTTTCCCATAGCCACAACCTCGGGGCTTTGCTCCAACCTGCCCAGTTTCCCTGGGCTCTACACAGGCGACGCGCATGCTGCAGATTATGAACTCTGATAGAAGAAAGTAATTAGAAAAGCAGTAGGCAAGCATATCTCGTGTCCATCTGTGGTGTGGGTCTTTGAAATTGTCTTGAATTTTTGGTGTAGATCAGATGCCAGAGTCAATAGATGTGTTCCTTTCCTTTGGTTAGAATGGAGACAGGACATTAAGCAACAGCAGGCTTGAGCAATAATGCTGGTGAATCAGTAGCTGCCTCATACTTCACTGCACACCTCATCCCAGTCATTACAGGCAGCCTGTAGTGCACTGCAGTGTTTGGGTGCATTGCATAAGGACCTATCTTTGGACGAGGTTAAACACAAGGCCATGAGCTATTTTGGCCAGTAATTACTCCATGGCACTTCTCTGCAAAATTGCCACTCACCTGGTGATTTTAGCTCCTGTGCTTCCTGCTAAGCAGGACAGCTGCGAACTTTTGGACCCTTCCCCCATCTATGGCACCATCCAGCACCAGGTGATTTGCATAGCTGGCAGAGAAGCATCAGATACTGCAGTATCAGTTGTAACTGAAGAAAAACCACAAAGTCCACAAATCCATCCCGACATCTTGAGAAGCAACCCTGCTCACCTTAGAGCTTGCATAAAAAGCACCATGGCTCCAACCCCACTCTCACCACCTGCAGCCTTCTTCAAGTCAAAAAGAGCACATTGCTAACCTTAATTCACATATATATATGTATAAAGGGTTGGATTCTTCACTGTCTGCATGTCAAACTCTATTAGCACTCATGGCATTCTTCAAGGAGACAGCACATAGATGCCCCGCAACAGCATGAGAGCCTACAAGAGGTCACAGAGAGAGTCTGAACCTTGCTTGGGAGTTTGCGTGATGAAAATAGCTCTTTTTCTTTTTGGAGGGGATAAGTCAACGTGAAACATAAACCCAGCATGGTGGAGCAGAGGTAGCTGTAGAAATTACTTCCTCATAAGCCAAACTCCAGATCAAATGAATTCAACTCTGCTTGACTTTGTTGACTGTTCTCCTTTGAGTCAATCAGGCTATTTGCTATAAAATCCGCAGCCTGCATTCAGCTGCCCAGTAATTGACTCAAAATCCTGTTTAGTTTCGATGGTTCCTCTTTCCAGCTCATCGGGCGAATTCTCTCTGCTCTCCGTTGTGATACCAGCTCTGGTTTTGCTGATTTTCATCATTACCACTGTTCTTGTCCTTACCAAAATAAAGCTTCGTAAGGAGATGGGTAAGTTGGCCATAGAACACCTTTTGGGTTACAGTTGTTTCTTCTGGAAGGGCTTTGCTTGCATTCTTGGGGAGCAGCACATTGAACAAACAGCTTTACAGCTCCCCAGTGCTTGGAAACCTTAGCATAAAGGGCAAGGACACAGCTGTGCTCCGCAGGGACAAACCTGATTCAATGGGTGCACAACAGACCAAGGTGCTGGAGAAACTCTTGCCAACAGCAGGCAATCTCATGCTGTGTTGTCTCTAGGTAAAAGTTTAAGGCCATTACTCAGTGAGAAGAGTGGTGAATACTTGATCCAAATGTATTGTTCACAAGAATGAGGCTGGGATATAAGAGGCTAATCCAGTGTCATGCTCACAGATGTAAGTAGGCGTTGGAAGAACTTTTCCCTCCCCCACATTTGTTCAGGAGAAGAAGGAAGCACCCTGGGACAGACAGAAGCCGTGCTGGTGCGGACTGGGCTGAGTCCCACTGAAGGACAGGGGATGGAGGAACTCAGCAGCCCAGACAACACCATTGGATGCAAGGCAGAGTCAGGCAGACATTGGTGGGTGTTTTCTTGCTGCAAATGCCAGCTGCCTTAGTAGGAGAGTCACAAAACTAATTTTAAGGTGGCCTGTTGCTTAGCATTTAAAACATCTCTGCAAGACAAACATTGAGTTTGCGTTCCCGGAACTGCTGCCTTTATCCCTTACCAAGAGCCATTGAGCCATAATCTTCAAAATAATTTGATTAAATCCTATACAAGGCCTATAAATTTATGTTACTGTTGATTACAATTCTTGCTGACGCATTACGAACGCGTTATCGCTCTTCCTGCTTGCTCGTTCCAACAAAATCTGATTGCTTGCAACCTCTTGCAGTATTATACAGAAGCAATCCTTGATCAGTGTTGCAAGCATATCATTTTTTTTCTGCCCTACATGTGCAGGATGATACGTGCTCTCCTCGGAAGGTTCGGGCAGACCAGGTTGTATGTAAGTGTCCATTGTCGGGTAACATGAAATCGATGGGGCTGTCATGGGGGACTGGTAACCTACTGCTGTAGAAAACACCCATGGAGACATTTCCAAGTATACCCAAGCTGTGGAGATTCGTATTGGTGAAATATACCTCCCCATCACAAAAAATATCCAAATCACTGTTGCAGTGGTTCAAGAAGATTGGTGATGGCGTTTCCTGTTCCTGTCACAATGCACTTGGACCCGAGCTCCCTGATGCTATAAACAGCTGTTAATGTTCCAGAGGCAGACTGTTGCAAAGGGAAATTAGTTGTGACAGCTTTTGCCCTCTGGAACACACCAGTGGGTGGATGCTTACATCTTTCCTCCCAACTGAAACATCCACTGACTTTGATCAGAAGCAGAAAGCAAATCTACAGACATCTCCAAAAGCATTGGGATAACGTAGTGTAGCTATCAAAGAGCTGAGCATAAAACCAAACACTGATAAAATCACTTCTAGAACTGTTGTAAAGGTGCTACCATGTAACAGCTTATTTTTTTTCTTTTTTCACAGGAATCCTTCAGTGAAAAATATTCTTTCCAACATGAATGATGAAGACTTGAGGGAACCCAGGCAGAACCCCTCCTCTCAGAGCACGATGTACATAAGCTCAGAAGCTTCTTTACTGAAAGGCAAAATACAGCTATAACCTCAAAGCATGCAGCACTTCTTCCTTGCTCCCCATTCCACAGCCAAATGCCTTGTTGTGTGGCGTGTAGAGAACAAAATGAAGCAACTAGCCATGCTGTTCCTGTATGCGACCCTGACTGTCTCCTGTAGAGCAGAGCACCCCAATGGGGAGCTGGGTATGGAATGGAAGAATCCTCAGGGCTGCAGGTCTGACTCTTGGAAATCCTCATCCTTAGGGATTTGTTTTGCAAAGCACAAACCATGTCAGACTTCAGTTCAACACCAAAGATTTCAGCCCAGACTGGGTGCCATACTTCAGCCTAGAGGAAAAAAAAAGCAAAGCAAGGGTTATTTGTGTTCTGGAGATGCCAAAGTGCTTTGGCACCTGTGACTTGGCAAGACGACGCTTCCTTGTCTGTTAAAGCAAATATATTTGCGTAATTCCATCTTGTTCAGAGTCAAAGGATCGGTTTTACCAGAAACTGCAAGGGCAAAGACGGAGGTTTGGATAACGAAGCTGTAAGTCTGTCAGGAACTGCCTCTTGTCCAAGGTGCCCAAGTGGCTGCAGGCCCTCACCGGCTGCCTTCATCCAGGGTTCCTCTACCTACTGCGGTGCCACCATTTCCAGCTCCTTCCAAGCACATCTCTGTGCACGTGAGCAGCCAGACAGGAGGTGGGAAGGCAACATGCAGGCATCCAAAAAGGAAAGGCTCTCCTGAGAGCAGTAGGTGTACAAAAAGCAAACACACCTGTGTTTATCGTGGCCAAGCGCAAACCCCAGAGCCGCTGTCCTGCTCCAGCTCCTCAGCTTTTCCTATGAGCGGGTGAGAAAGTCTTCCTGTGGCCCCGAATAAAACAAAATCATTGCCTTAATTAGAATAAAGGAAAGCAAGTTAATGACTCATCCCACACAAACAATTCAGTTGTCTCTGATTTTAGGCTTTCATACAGTTCCATTTCCAACAACCCCACTCTTCAGAATGAACTCCTGCTTGGGACCCTCAATGTTCCACAGCAGGGGACCAGAGCAGCAAGGCTGAACACAACAGCAAAGCACCCACACATATTTCCTCTTAAAGAGCGTGCAGAGCTCTTGCCTTACGCAGACAAGGCCAAGCCTTACTCTCCCCAGGAGGCGGTAGAGACAGAGGGTGGGGATGTGGCAGACTTCCATAGCAAGGCCAACTTGTCCTACCTGGAAAGCCAACATGCCTGGGTCTGCTTTAAGATACTGGTTCCCAAAAGATGGAAAACCAGTGACAAGGATGTTTTTGCCCAGATTTGCCCTATCAAACACTTCTTCTGTTGGTTGAGGATGTCACAACTTGGGAAACCAGGTGAGCCCTGCACATTGGAGTTCTCCATTGGGTGCAGAGCCAAAGAAAGAGGGACAGGGAGAGGACCCCAGCACGCTCCACACAAAGCAGACCCATGAGTTGGCATCAAGCTGAATCCCTTCCCAAAGCCAGCAGAGGTGCCAGGGCAGCACCCTGAGCCAGAGCCCACCCTTGGTTGCATAACAGCAGGGTGCAATCGGGAGGCTGCACCCAGAGCCAAGTGCCAACAGAGCCAGGAGGAACATTGGCTGCCCTGCTCCCACGTGGCTCAGGGCTCACTTGGGCTTGGATGCTGTTCCCTTAAGGCACAACAGGTGGAAATGCAGGGCTAGAAGTATGAGTATTTAAAACTGGCTGGCACTGCCCGAGCCTGGTGTCCTGGAAGGAAACAGGACAGACACACACTCACACAAGGAGGTCCTGGGGTCAACCACGAAGCCAGGAGCGGTGAAGCAAAGAGAAAGCAAGAAGTACAAAAAGGTCTGCAGAAGTAACCTGACGTGTAAGTAATGCTTCTTCGTTGTCTTCTCACGCATTCACCTCAAATTAGCAGCTTTGCACAGCCATGCATGGGCGTGCAGGTCTTGCTGGTGAAGAGATGCTGTCTTACTTTAAAAGAACATCAGAAGTGCAGAATCAAGCTCATAATATTATCTTCCTTCTCCGTGGTAGACTTTTAATTTTCCATTTCTGAAAATAAGTTTAATTATCGTTACGGTATCTGCACTGATAGGAAATAATTGTTAGTAAATACTACTGTGGTCATTACAGCCTTTTGAATGGCAGCACGGAGGCAGTCATAAGGATACGGATTTGGGAATGCGCCACAGCAAAGGCTGGGTTTCTGCACGCTTAAATGCTTACCATGCAAAGTCCTTTTGGACTTTTAATGCCTTTGCATAGAGAAATTATGCTTGCCAATAGCAGCCACACCGTGGCCACAGACAGGTGCACAGGTGCTCTCCACTCATCCAGCTCTCACAGCACAGCACCACTGCAGTGCTTTTGGATTATAAGCTCCAGGAATATTCAGTTTTAAACTAGAAGAGCAGTTTGTAGTCTCGGTTTCACTTTCCAGTCTATGAGACTAGAAATGGAAACAAGAAATAAGTGAACCATTCATATCCCATCTGAAAAGCATCAAGTTAGTATGGGGGGACATCTAACAGCTTAAAGGAGCATCCAATCAGGTCATCATCAGCACCACCTCAGGAGAAACTTCAATCATTACCATGCGGATCATCTGGGCATTCTTTTTCATTTGCCATCCAAAATATAGTGCTCATCTCGAAGTTCTACCTGGAGCAAAAGGGATTCTTAGCTAGGGATGCAATAAGTACTGCAGGAATTCCTGAAGGCTGTTGATTTTGTTGATAATCTCCAGCAGGATCTGCCTAGCTGCCTCTGCTCACTGTATCACAAAATCAGCACGCCCCGTTTAACCTCTGCATATTGTAAAGCAGGCATCAGTTTGGAACACGAAGGATTTATTTTTGGTATGCGTTCGGGTCAGGCTGATCTTTTAACAAGTCCGTTGCTCACTCACCTCCACCAAGTGCAATGAAATGCTCTATCCATGGGGATGGGTGGCTTTTCCCCATTAGCAACACTCACAAAGCAGCCATCAACGCAGTCATTGTGATGGGTCCCATGAGGATGTAGAGAGTTTTGGTGCTGGGCAGCAGGACAGCTGTGTCTGTGCTTTGCTTCCAGGCACCAAGAATCGCCCCCAGCATCCATGTCTGCATTCCTCCTCAATGCAACCCCAACTGTTCTGCTCAGCATCACACCCACAACAGCTTGCATCCACGCAGCTCACCCCCAGTATAAGTGGGTCTGATTTTAAAGGATTTGAGGGAGAAAAAAAATATATACATTACTCCATTCTGGATGTTGTTTCTTAATTATGGGAATAACAGCAACTGCTATGCAAAGCAGAACTGTCGTAGGAACCAGCTCTTTGTGTTCCATTGATCCCAATGCATGTCCTTGACACTGGTCATTGTTAAGAGCAATAGTTAATGGCTAATAGATTACGTGCTATTGATCCCTTGCAAGCTGCACCATCTGAGTACAGTGGTTTCTCAGGTGAGAAACTTGCAGTTGAGTCAGCAGAATTTGGGAACTGAATTCTGCTTTTTTCATACCTACTCAGAGCAGCTCCTTGCGCTTGCATAAATTGTTTCAAGCCCTGATCTCTTTTGTATCAGCATGAATCTGAGGAGATTCCTCTCCAAAGTCCAGGTCGACCCATCTTAGGGGAGGAGGGCTCACGCAGCAGCATGCAGAGCCCACCTGGCAGCTCTGCTGCTTGCTGCTGCACAGTTCTGTGCCGCTCAGCTTTGAAATACGTGATGTGGAGGCAGGGAAGAGGAAGGAGCCAACAGTTCTGGTGTTGCAAGATTAAAGTTGATTCTACTTCAGAAAAACAAGATTTGAGCTTATTAAAAAAAAAAAAAAAAAGGAAGAAATGAGAATAAACCCAGCCCACAGCTGGTGCTGATCCAGAGAACCTCTTCTGCAGAATCAGGGATTGGTGACAGGAGGGGGCACAGCCTCTTGACCACAGGAGAAACTTTCCAACAGTGGCTGCTTCTCTGCTGATCCCACGCTGCAAATGGGCAAGAACTAGGAAGGACATCCCTTGTCCTTTTTCCTCCCTTTAGCCATCAAAATGTTTTAAAGTAAGCACCAGAATTTGGCCTGAAACGTCCAAACTGCCAGCTTAGCTGTTCCCATCTGCAACTTCTTTGCCCTGTGCTGCAGAGCAGCTTCAGAGTCACTTCCCACTGGGAATGACTGAGCTCCCTCTCCTTTTCTCCTGGCCATCTCATAGAATCACCTCCCATACAACCTCAAACTGAGGGTTTTAACACATCAGGTTTTTAAGTCAGCACATGCAAAGCATTGGGCTCAGCAGCCCAAGCAACGAGTGCTGCTCCTGCATGAACCAAGGCAACCAACCCAGCCATGTGCAGGCTCCCATCAGCCTGCATGGTGCAGTCATGGGTGGCAGCCCAGTTCCCAGCACCTATCAGTCAGTAGGGACACCATGGTCTCACACTCAGTCTTTCCTGCTCCAAGGGCACCAGGAACCCAGCGCAGACGCACAGAGCAGTGCAGCAGGAGCGGAGTCCAGCTGCCACTTGAGCCCAGTAGAACAGCTCAGGGCTGAGAGCAGCCATGTCACACAGCCCCATGCAAAGGGTGGAGGCATCCATGAAATCCACGGCAACCCCTCCTGCATGAGGTGACCCAATTTGGCTTCTGCTGGAAGCTACAGGGAGCTCACAAGCCTCGTGCTTCATGCCAGACCTCACAAGGATGCGAGGGCTCTCTCAGAACCAACCATGGGAGTAGTATTAATGCAGATTGCACGCACAGCCACTTACTTGCATTCCCATTCAGCTCAGCAGCACTTTCTCTTAGCTGTGATCTGAGATTTAATCCTGTTCTCTGACTGAAGACAGCAAATCTAGTCCTCCGAAAGCACAAAGGAACCCGAGCTGTGTTATCAGCAGGCTCAGAGTGATTCTCCCCCAGCATCTCAAACTGTGATTGCTTCATGCAGAGCACCCAACTGTGCACATCCACGCACTGGGTAGCATCTCTGGGCACTCAGAGCACCAAAGGAGGTTTCCATGCAGCCTGCTCAGTGGGTCAGCCCAGACTTTATGTAACATGTGGCTGCGCCTCATTTGGGGCATGGGATGGGATCTGCATCCATTCATTCAGTGTAGTGATGCAAGGTGTTAGCATCAGAGCAGGAGCAGAGGCAGTGCAGAGCCACAGATGTGTGCAGTGCTTCATGCAAACTGCTATCCTCAGGTAGGCACAACCACATCCATGTGGCCTCAAAGATGCAAAACCTTTCTGCTCTTACATGTGCAGACTCTGGCACATCTTTCTGGGCACAGCTGTAGCCTCATTTCTAAACAGACCTCCATAACCCCTCACTGCCTGGCAGCCAATTGCTTCGGGAAGGAATTAGACCAACACAAACCGTGCCAAGAAGGGAGAAAAGCTGACCCAAGACCTTCCTTGTCTCGCCCTGCAGTGAGTGTGGGAGGGCAGCAGGGAAGCAGCAGCCACAGGAGCCCTGTGGGTCTGTGTTGTGCCGCACTGTTTGCTTTCCACATGGCATGGTTTGTTTGCCCTGCTGGCTGCCTGTGTGATATGTATGAAGAAGCATTTTTCATGCTCAGTGGGTTAATTATTAGCCACAGACAAGTGGACACTGAGCAATTAAAAGTCCCAATACAAGGAAGAAAGCATAACAGAGCGCCTTTCATCTTCACACGGAAGCAAAGGCATTTTTCTTCTACAGGGAATTACCCCTAATAAAACAAACCCTATCACCTGATGCCCAGAAATCAAATTCCTGTGACTGTTTATAAAAGCTTTGCTTGGCATCCATCATCTTCACTATAGCTTGCAATAATTAATGGGTAGATCAACAGTTTGGAAATGCATCTGCTCACCATGGAGAATCCTACAGCAAACTCACAATGCAAATTAAAAGCTTTGGCTTTCCCTGGGCCATCCCTGATATCAGAACAGGGATAAGCCATAAATATTCATCCTGTGGGCACATTTCAGGGAATGAGCAGCTTGGTTTGGTGCTTCCCAAAGCCTTCATTTTGAGTCTTGCCAGGGCTACACAGCTCTGCTTCTCCACAGGGTTTAAATCTCTGCACCTCACCAACTTTGTCAGCAGCCAAGGGGAGAAAAGGCCCAACTCTATCACATTCCTGAAGCGAACAGGGAAGCAAAGATCAGAAATTAAATACGGGCTTCAGACAGGAACTGCTCTACACAAGCAGGTTTTCCCAAGGACCGGTTTTGGCACCTGGGCTCAGAAGGGAACAAACCCTTCTTTCACTGCATGGACAACAAACCATCACAAGTGCCATTATCTCCTAGCAAGGGTCATGAGAGCAGCCCAGCTCTGGGCACCCTGAATTCCAGCCCTGCTGGGGCTCAGCAGCTTTTGGGCCATCTGTGAACTTCAGTCTTCCAAGGGGCTTTTCTGCTGTAACAAGTGATACCAAATGTCACTTCTGACTCTGGATCAACCCCAATTTGGCCGAAATCACTCTTTGTGCTGTGCACGTTGACACTGCTGCCTGCCCAAGAGACAGCCACAGTCAGCCTGCAAGCCTGGCATTAACTGGCTTATGGTAAAAACAACTCCTGCTGTTTGATGTGGTTGAGGTGTTAGATGCACAAGTAGTCACAATGCCATGTAGCAAAACAGGCAATGACAGATATCAGCTCCCCATTTCCTATTACATTGCTTGACAAGTGATTAAATGCTGTATTTCTCTCTAACAGCCACAATGCTCTTATCATCCAGGCAGAGACATTATCAGGTGACTTAACCATTAATCATTTTTGCAAGTGCTATTATTCACTGATTTCCATGCCTTTTCCAGGGAATGCAAGAAGAATGATTTTGCTGGCATTCATCCTCCTGCTCTCCTTCCTCCCAGCTGAATCTGCAAAAAGCAGATATCCTCCCAAAGCAAGTAAGTGTAACCCACCCGGAACACAGCGGTTTTGCAGGCAGCATTAAACCAGATGATGCACTCCTAAGGGAGACAGAAGGGTTTGGGGTCCCCATTCACACCCAGCACTGCCATGGGACTTTTCAGAGCACGCCAGGACATGCAGCCCTTTGCACAGCCATGGTTGCACGGTGCATGGCATGCACACCCAATGGGTTTTCTTCTTGCAGGCTTACACCCGGTGTTCGGACCGCAGCAGGTGTACGGCCTGATCGATGGCTCCGTTACCATCAAGTGCTTCTACCCTCCCTCAACGGTGAACAGACACGATAGGAAGTACTGGTGCAAGGAATCCTCCAGGAGCTGCCTGACTGTGATATCCACCAGTGGATACACAGCACGGAGCTACCAGAACAGAGTCACCATCACCGACTTCCCGGAGCTGGGCATCATGCTGGTCAACGTCTCACAGCTGGCCCTGACAGACCAAGGCACCTACCAGTGTGGCATTGGGCTCAATGGCAAGGGGCTCTCCAACAAGGTCAGACTGGATGTTTCTGAAGGTAATCGCAGCCTTTTCTTTCACATTTTCTTCCCCTTTCTGATAGAGCTCCGTGGGATGTCTGCCCAAGAAGAGCATCCAAGAGCTCAGGGTGTTCCATGCTTCCAGGGTCTTTTTCCCCACTAATGTTCTTACAGAACAGATTTTCCTCTGACCAAAAATCCGGCATAGAAATCAGATATAAAACTCAATGCAGCAAACCTTGCTGGGAAAGCACTGATTTCTCAGCCACTGAAATACAGGGAGAGGTGCTCCCAGCAGGACTGCCTATCACCCAGCTTCCAATAGGGAACACACTGACTGCTCTCTGATTGCACAGGTCCAGACGTACCCGAGGAAGCTGAGCTCTACTACGTGAAGCTGCAGGGCTCTGTGAACATGCCCTGTGACTTCGGGGCAGATTATGCCAGCACAAGGAAGTTTTTGTGCAAGATGGAGAAGAGCGGCTGCCGCAACATCGTTGACACTTATGGGGAAGTAGATTCGGAATTCCAAGGGAGAGTCCTGCTGAGCAATGATAACACGGAAGGAGCATTCAGCATCATGATAACCCAGGTGGCCTGGGAAGATGCTGGCCTGTACCTGTGTGGGGTTGGCTCCTATGGAGAGTATGGAAAAACAAAGGAGCTGAACGTGCACGTCTATGAGGGTGAGTGAGCTGTTCCCAATGCTTTGTTTCCCTTTGTCTCTGCTTTTCTTTAGAAGCACCACTAACAATCTCACTCAATGAGAACTTTAAGACCACCCTTCATCTAGCAGAGGGGTCAAAACTAAAAAAAGGCCAATGCACAAGGACAACAACCATCAGAGGATCTGGGAAAGGCCTGGCAGATCCATCGGGGTCAATTTTGGCAGTGCCAGAATGGTCCTCTCACATCTGCACCTGAGCACCACCTGGCTGTACTTGAGCTTTGCCACATGGCACAAGGTAAGCAGGTCAGGCCGCTCATCTTATTTTCATCTCCAGGGGTAAACACTCCACAAGAAAAGGACATCATATTTGGAGTAAATGGAAGTTCAGTAACTATCGATTGCCGCTACGACCCGGCCAAGAATTACACGCTGAAGTATTTGTGCAAATGGAGAAAAACAGGCTGTCACTGGATCATAACTAACAATGGCCTCCAGTCGATCTCATTTGAAGGACGAGTGGCCATGTTTGACAACCCAGAGAATGGCACATTCAGCATCATCCTGAACCAGCTGAGCAGCAGCGATGAGGGCTTCTATTGGTGCATGACAGATGATCACGGGGAGAGGAAAACATCCAGGGAGCTGAAGATCATAGAAGGTATGAACCCATATGCAGTTCCCTTTCATACAAAACAAGACAACCTACCAAGCTTCACAGAATCATTAAGGTTGGAAAAAACCTCAAAGGTCATCGTGTCCAACTGCCACAATAGAGCAGATCTCACTTTTTGGGAAGAGATGTGAGTAATGGTTCTGAAATTCTGTCACTAGGCAAAGCTTTGTGACAGTTCCCCCATGCTCCTCTAGTTTTAGAATGGAAATGTAAGGTTTTGGCCATAGGGGGAAGTGTTTGCACAAAGGACTCATCCCAAATATTACAAAAACCAGCTTTCACCTGATTTCGATGTGGGATCCCCACCATTATTTTAGTAATGTAAAGGAACACTTTCTCCCAAGGTCACACCTCCTGGTTCACCACCTCCAGCAGCCCCACACCTATTGGGTACCAATCACTGCTAACCCACTAACTGCAGCTTCACATTCTGTTTGCCCTCACAGGAGTGCCTGGATTAACAGGAAAGGAGGAAGTGCAGGCAGAAGTGGGCTCACGGGTGGACTTGACGTGTTCCTACTCATGCAAATACTACTCCTATGAGAAGTATTGGTGCAAGTGGAGCAGAGATGGCTGCACCCCACTGACTGCTTCTGACCAAAGCCAACCAGGGCTGGATGTCAGCTGTGACACTGCCAACAAAACACTCATCCTGAGCCTCGACTCTGTGGCCGTGGAGGACCAGGGGTGGTATTGGTGTGGGGTGAGACGCCATGGCCACTATGGGGAGACCATGGCAGTGTCCCTGCAGGTGGATGGAGGTGAGCCCCAGGGAACGAAGCTCGGGGGGTGGAGCATCGGCTGGGAAGAGTCCTCTCCTTGTCCACTAGGTTGCAGCACCTCAAAACAGAAATACTCCCAAATGTGGGCTCTCCCAGATCGGCTGTCTTGGTTTCCATTCACAAAATCCTTCCAGTCCCACAGTCACTTCTTCCCTCACCATTTTCAACCCCATCTTCACTAATAGTTGCTCTCACAAGTCATAGCATTGCTTGAAATGATGCAGCCTCCAACATCAGTCACACAAAGGGTTGTGTGTAGCTCCCATTCATCATTACAGATGGGAAAGCGCTGGGAGGGAGAAAGGAAGAGCTGTCCCCAGTTCTCTATGAGCAAGCAAGGGGCTCAGCATCAGCTTTAGGCAATATTTTAGGATGCTCAAATCTCACCACCCTTCTTACCTCCACCATGCAGGCAAAGCTGCCGAGATCAGCCCGGAGCTCCTGGATCTGGAAGCCAGCAATACTGCTGCTCCTGGTGAGGCTGTTCTGCAGGGCAGAGCCAACAACGATGCTGGGGTGCAAAGGGCAGCCACCTCAGAAAGGTCAGTCCTTCCCCAGCCTCTCTCATGTATTAGTTTTGCAAAGTTAACTTCTTGTTGACAGGCTGCTTGCACACTCTGCACATAGTTTAGCAATGAAGAAAATGTTTTTCTCCAAAGAAATAAGCTCAGAGCAACAGAAGGAGCAAAAAGTCACAGCTAAAAGCTTGGAATTACTCTCTAGATAAGTGTAAACACAGTCTCAGAAGGAAACAATTGGAAATTCCAGGTACAGAAAAGTCAATTTTAAGCATTTCTGTCAAGATCAGAGAGCCTTCCTTCACACATCTATTACTCAACTGCTACTGCAGCTTCTTGGGCAGTACCTCCATCCAACACCTTCACTTATCCTCCTGTGATGTGCTCAGATCAGATCATTAGTTAGATTACATCACACTCACTGAGATCTACCATCTTACATAGACATTCAGACGGATGGAAATCTATGTAGCTTGTACAGTCCAGAATGATTCTGTAAGAAAATGCTCTGCACAACTCAGTGCTCCACCTTCCTCTCTTCCAGCTCTGAGCAAAGCTCTGGCTCCACCACTCTTGCTTTAATCCTGGGCCCCATTGGTGCAGTTCTCCTGGTCCTTGCTATAGCTTTTGCCGTCTTTAAATATCGCCAGATCAGGCGATCAGGTGAGTCCCTGCCCTGTGTAAGCCCTCAAGTGTCACTAGTATTAAGATGAAGGCAGCCTGCTTGCAGTGTGTCAGCTGTAGTTGCTCCTAGTACCACTGTGAATGCTTCTCCTGCACAGATCTGGTGTCGGTGGGCAGCTACAGGACCAACATCAGCATGTCAGACTTTGAGAACGCAAGGGAGTACGGAGCAAACGACAACATGTGCATGAAGCAGAGCCAGGAGACCCAGCTGGGAGGGGATGGTACGGCACTGCTCAGAACCCCAAGCTTTGGAGAAAGCAGCAAGGGCTTGTAGAAGCCCAGCAGCTGCTGAGACATCACACTCTAACATCTGCCTTTCTGTCTGTGCAGAATTTGTCACCACCACAGCCAACATTGAAAGCACCGCTGAGACAAAGAAGGCAAAACGGGTAAGAGGAGGTGGGAGAGAGCACACTGACCTGCAGCCCCAATGCAGCCCTGCAGCATCACCAAAACAGCTGCCCCAGCCCCTGGGCCCTATTTGTAGCCAGCTGCCTCCATCATGGCTGAGTCTCCCACCTGCAGCAGATCAGCCACCGGGGGGCTGTAACCCCTTCAAGCCCACATACCCCAAGCCCAGCCCTGCCCTGGGTGAGCCTGTGCTGCCAGTGTGGTACCAACACACAGCACGAGCTCAGAGCAACTCTTTTTAACCCTCAACCACGGGTTAGCTGTAGTTGCGAGTGCCAAGAGTTGAACCAGATCTCTGCTGAGGTCCTCCTCAAAGCCAGGAGCCCCAGATTTCTACCTAAATAGCTTCTGCAACTATTTCCTGCCTCGAGAACCCACAAGCTCATGCAATATTTGTGCACCAAGCCAAAAGACAAGCGATGCTTTTCCACATATACCCCCTCCCCACCACTGACCATCACCCCTCACCATGTCCTCCATCCTCCCTCCTGCAGGGCTCCAAGGAGGATGCTGACCTCGCCTACTCGGCCTCACTCCTCACCCCCAGCAGTGTCACCCAGAGCTCCGTGGGGGACAGCACAGCCCCGGCTGAGGCCCCCCCTCTGTGGGGTGGTTCGGTGTGAGGGCGAGGGATGGGGACATGCACTGGGGGCAGGCTCTGCTATGGGGCTCACTGCTAGAGCTCAGCCTGCTGCGCTGCTTGCTGCTGCCCCCATTTGCTATTGCTTGATTTTCCGTCTTTAAATTCAGCTTGGAGCAGAGATTCAGCCAGAATCATAAAGGCTGAGCCCCAGCATCACCAGCGTAGCCAGGGCCCTCTTCGACGCTCCCAAAGACTACAAGAAATGTATTTTTAAATCTTTTTTTTATAATCTCTTTTTTTTTTTTTTTTTTTTTTTTTTTTTTTTTCCCCTGGAAATCTCTTTAGGGCAATGCCTTTTGCTTTTGATTTCCCTCTGCTCTCCTGGTCATAGGGCAGCAGCTGCAGACCAGGAGTGCCTGGGGTTGTTCATGTCCAATAAAGATACAAGCAGCTTTCAGCAGACCAGACGGGCTCTCAGTCTGTGGCAGAGCAAGGGGAAAGCACAGAATGGTGTTAATTAATATGACAACCCATTTAACTGATTAAGCAATAGGCACCAGCGGTCAGCCTCTCTGGCTGGTTTTGTGCTTGTCCAGGCAGAAGCAATGATGACTGTAATTAAAACAGTGTTGTCTCCTGGTCTTATCCTCGAGAGTGGGTTATTCAACAGAGAAAAGCAATTTATTTGTGCATGGCCACGCTGCTGCCTGTAGGTCAGATCCTGGTGAAGAGGGCCAAACACCCCGCAGATAAAGCCTTGCAGGAGCAGCGAGGATGGAGATGTGACAAAGAAGCAGCAATTTGCCCTGAACACACGAAGTTCTGCACATCCCCAGGCAGCAGCCAGGGCGGTGAGAGGCAGAGAGGATGGAGGGGATGGATAGAAATAGCACTGATCTGCTCAGGTTCCCTGGTTCTGTCCTGTTTATGTGCATCTCTGACAGCAAGTGGTAAAGCATAAGGAATAAGGAGCATTGCTGCATCCTCCCCTCCACGGCACGGGGCGGCAGTGGGAGCAGCAAGGACAGGATGGGTCTGTGCCTGCCCGTGGCTGCTGGAAGTGAATGAACAGCTCTGGTGCAATAGGAAACACATCCCCAGGGGCTGAGCAGCAATACAGCTGCAGGAGAATGCTGTGGTTTGGAAATCTCCAGCGGGAGAAAACCCCTTTCTCTGTCCCTTTGTGAAGCAGTTTCCTCCTCCACCTGCCTCAGGGCAGCCTTTCCTCTGCAGGAGTTGAGTACATGGATAAGGAGAATGGAAGTCACACTGCAAAATGCTGTACATGGGAAAGTAAATGAGGTGAAGGAGGGCCCTGGAAGCACTTCCTTTCTGGCATAAGCAAATATGTGAGCAAGGATGGTGAGCGACCTCTGCGTGTGCAGCCACTTGAGGGTAAAAGAGCCCAAAAGAGGGATGGGAGGCTATCTGTCATGCACAATGGAAGTGATCCCATGGACAAACAGGGCTGGTTTCACATCACTCCAGTTTACATTTTGGAGTTTCCAGCATGGGGGGGTGTGCAGTGCAGGGCGCTCCTCCCCCTGCAGCCCCACTGCTGCAGGATGAAACCTTGCGCTTCACCTCCACCAGCACATCCACTCACATCTAAAAGCAAACAAAATCAGACACCTTCTGCTTCCTGACTGCTCTTACGAATAACCCAACATCACTTGTGGGTGGGTTTTTCTTTCCTAGAAAGAGAAGTTGCCAGGCATTAGAGCCACGGCCATAGGTTAAGTGGTGCATCTGATCGCAGGGGCTGTGCCGGCTCTGAGAGGGCACCACGGCAAGCTCTGAGTTTCACCAACTCGAAATGCAATTCCTCTGAATTCTGATAGAATTCAGTGCAAACTCAGCACAGTTTCAGGCTGGCTTTGTTTACAGTAAGCGCATCAGCCTTCCACAAACCTCCTGCTGACTGTCAGTAAATGCACACCGGAGATTTCTTCTATTCAGCAACCACATATCTTCCATAGAACACTTCATTTCACTGATACTGCAGAAAACATCACCTGGAAAGGAAACACAGATTTCCTTGGCTTGCAGTACCTGCAAGGACCTATTCTGCAAGTGTTTATCACCCATTGCCTCCTTTCAGCCAAAGCTGAGCCCAGAGTGGCAAATGCAGCTCTGTAACATCAGCTCTATGCGAGCAGCTCAGTCAGGCACTCAGTGCTCGTGAACACACAGCCCTCATGCAAAGAGTTGATAATTCAAAACAATACTTTTATTAAGTTATCATAGCTTATTGCCTGCTAAAGAGAACTCTTTAAAATTCTCCCTTTGGAAAGTGTTGTTTGATAGAAGTCGGAGATGTGAACACTGTTGATTCAAGCCAACTCCACATTGCCATCCAAATGCAAGACCCTGTGGATGCGTGTGCCTGTTCCTGTGCCCGACAGCACACTCAGTGCTTGATCAAACAGTCAGCAAGAAATGGCTCTGGGACAGTGCATTCCCGAGGTGTGCAGCCCCCCAGCAGCTCTGTTAGCACACAGTTCCTCTCTATGGGGATTTCTCCATCCAGTCCAGCAGGATGTCCAACTCGCCCAGGGATTTCATTGCTGCAGATGTGACATTCAGCTGAAAGGGATGTAAAGGAGCAGGTTGCAAAGACTGTGATACCACCAAGTGTAATGAGGCTGAATAGCTGCATTAATTACTAGGCTTAATCATCAGCTTACCCCTTCATAGTTCACAAGTATCTGCTTAAATCTCTCAGTGGGTTCCTGTCCACACAAGCACTTGTTTTCATCATGCTAGAAAAACAAAATTGAATTCATTAAGCTGAAGGGTTTCATTTTCACGGAATCAATCACAGAATCAATCATAGAATCAATCACAGAATCACCAAAGTTGCAATAGATCTCCAAGATGATCCAGTTCGACCATCCATCCATCACCAATGCTTCCCCACTAAACCACGTCCCTTAGTACAACACCTGCACGTTTCTTGAATACGAGCATTTTAAGGATGAGAGATTGCTTTTAACACAGACAGAGAACCCATCTGAGGTCCTGAAATCAGGCTCCATTGAGAGCAGTTCACCCAGGCAGACCCAGTGCTGGTTTTGGTCACTGCCATGGCAGTGAATGAGCACATACATCAACTTCTCAATGAAGGCACAAACCCTTCTCACCGTGCTTCTTCCTATTCTTGTTAAGAGCTTTCCTCTAAATAAAGATTTTGTAACTTATGAAACGCTTGGGTTTATTTGCATACCAAATGCCAAAGCTGAAACTAAACTTCAGCAACATGAGACTCACACAGTGCTCGAGTTTCCTTTTGATGCTGAGGAAGGAGTTGGCTATGCTGCTGATCTTTCGGTTGATGTAGGAATTCTCAGTCTGGCAGTGCTTGAAGACTTTGTCCACGTAGAAGTTGAAGACCTTGTGGACCATGCAGCATTTATCTGAAGGCTTAAGGGACAAATTCCTCTTTCCCCATGTGCTTCAAACCCTTGGGCACTGCCCTTCTTCCCACCGCTAGAAGAAAACATCTCTGCCACCCATCACTGGAGCTGACAGTGGTGTATAAACGTTCTCCAGCTCTGCTTGAGGTACGCTGATAACAGATATAGAGTGATTTTCCAGTCCCACCCTCAGCGTGCCTCACTGAGTGACCAAACCCATGAGCTGGCTTTGTAGCTGGGTGTTAGAGGCATGAAGCAGTGGCCCAAGTGCAGTGCCTTGGAGCAGGAGAGCTGCAAAAGCCTTACTTATATTTCTCAGCCCACCACCCTGCAGAGAAAGAAGGGCGAGGAACACCAGCAAGGCCCTTCCCTGCCCTTCCCATCCCTCCAGAGCAGTGCAACCTATGCTGTCCTCCACCACCCATTGCTCCTGTCTCTCTCCTGCCCTGTGTCTCCCAGTTTTTGGACACCCATTCGGGTGCTGTGCACATTTCTGGAGAAGCATCAAGCTCTCTCCATGCAGAAACCACTGCAGGACCCCCAGCTCCTTTCACGCCTTTACATCACCCCTCCTCCCTGCCCTGCCCTTTCTTCCCATGCACTTCACAGGAACTCAGACGCCATTGCATCACCCAGCAGCTCCCAGCCCTGAACACGGTTAGCAGGGAGGAATGAAGCATAGCAGGACATTGATGGCACCCACCTGGACCCTGTGAAGGGAGTGTGGATGGGACAGGATGCTCAGCGTCCTGATGGGGTCCCGGGCTTGCTGTGTGGAAGAGAGAGATGCAATGAGGGACTTGTTGGCACTGCAAGGCTATGGGAACACAAGCTGCTCCCCAGGAGCCCACAGCAGGACTTACAATGTTGGTTTTGATGGCGGTGAAGCCAGCCCTGATTTCACTCATGCTCACTGAAATCCTACAGGGGCCAAAGCGGAGGATCGTGTTCCCAGCTGCCGGCAGCAGGGTGAGGCAGCAGGTCATGGAGCAGAGGCAGAGCAGCACACAGGAGCCCAGCATGCCTGCAGCACCTGTTGAGAATCCTCACAATCTTCCCTCTACATAAAAATCAAAAGCACACACACACAAAAAAGTTCTTAGTAAGATTTCCAACGAATCGTTTCAGCATTCATTGCTCACCTCATAGACGTAAGTGACTAAATGAGACTGCAGGGGGAACATACATCTGACAGGGAGGTTTGTAGGGACATGCCAACAGCTAAACTATTTCTGGAACACACATTTTATACAGTACTGGTGGTACACATGCATGTAAGTATGTTTGAAAGCAACACTGATTGATAGCTCTTATCCATTTCTTCTTTGCCAGTTACAAGAGAGAAAAACTAAGAAGGAAGAGTTCCTAAAAGATTCCAAAAGAAAGAAATAGGGGGGAAAAAAAAACCAACAAAAAACAGCAAAAATTGCAGGTGAATAGACAAATCTCAACAAAAAGTAAGCACGGGTAAATTAAGCTGGAACAGCAGGGCTGAAAGCGTGACCAAAAGCAGCAAACCCCAAAGGCTGTTCCCAAGGGAGAACGCTTTCCCTATGGAGCAGCAGGGATACTTCAAACGTAGGTTGTGTTCACAGTGACGTTCATAAATAAAGCCCTTACAAAACCTCGTTACAGGAGATACAGACACATGATGGAAGGATAAAACCAGCACTTTACCTGCTCTGTTGGCAAGGGTCAATCCGTCCTGCCGACGTCTGTCCCGAAGAGCTCCAAAGGACGCGTTTTTATCCAGACGCTGGGAGGAAACAGCTCATGGATTAACTTTTGGGGTTTTTCTTGCTTTTCCCGGCACCTATTTCCCTTTGCAGTTCACTGAATTAATTAGCCAGCAATAGGGACTGACTCCTTCACCCACAGGTGTTTCCCTACCATCTGGGGGCGGGAGATGCTGGCACAGAACGTTGGGAGGATGGGAGTGAGGGGAAGCACCGCGCTGGGGTGGCAGCTCCAGCCATTTGGGTGTCCCTGGGTGGGAGGCATCTGGCCCTGCAGCAGGGGTTGGGAAGATGCTGAGCCCCCTCCAGC